AGAACAACAGGGACACATAGAACCAGGACCGCAAGTAGTTAAACCACAAATGGAAAGGTACATAGTCAGCTGGAATCTGTTGTCAGATGTTGTCAGTAATATCCGCTGAATGTCGACAGTCTTTGCTTACATGTTTGTCTCTGTCCACTTTCGTGTTGGGATTCTGTGGTGCATCGATTCGAAGACCCAAACCCTGTCAACCTCCGGCGAAGCCCTAACTGCCCAGAAGCGGGTATTGTAGAGGTGCCGTCCGGCCTGGAAGCCAACACGACTGTCAAATAACATCGCCTTCCCATGTGCTTGACTGATCTCAAATCATGTGCCTAGCACCGGGAACAAAACACAAACTCACGGCCCTGCCAACAGCAACATGCCTTCAACATGCTTCCTGATAAATGCGACTAACAACGCCAAAAGCACACTGTTGTGGACATCGTGGGCTCCATGTCAAGGGAGATGATGCCACAAGCAATTCGACCTCCACTATAGTCATGAATCCTGAGATTTTTGCACATGTCAAAACGTCCAGCTTTGAGCTAGCCACCTCATTGCCTATTGCATGTACCCATGGTTCATGTCATCACCCAAGACAAGAGCTTTCTTCGACTTGGATTTTGCATTTTGAATGTATTGAACCAGAATATCCAATTCCTTGGGTAAAAAGGGCCCAAGTCTAGTGGTGCATATTGCCCTCAGTCCATTAGTATTATGGTCGGCAGCGGAAAGTGGTAAAGCACTCCTGGCCCTGGAACTTTTGGAGCTGCTCTTCACCGATTCATTTTGACCCTTGAATCCTTTCGATGAATACAATAGCGGCGTCGGACAACAGCTAAAGCTGAGGGGTGGTTGGGCTTGTGATACCTGATACGCAGTTGCAGAAACATGTCTTCAATCGGCACGAATCAAAGCGGCATGTAGAACATAGCAGCGGCTAAATGATGCACAGCACAAATGATACATAGCGACGGGCATAGCGGCATGATGCGGGATGCATAGAACTCTCCTCTGACGTGCTGTCCCAG